ACCCAAAGAGGTCAAAACTTCTGCAAAGACTCCCGCACGTTCTGCCAAGCATCCCACGGTGGAACTCACCAGGTCTGGGTCCTGCTGTTCAGTGCTGGGGCTGGAATCCTCAGGCCTTCCGAACACCCTAGTGCCTGGGTTGCTTAGAGGGCAGGAGAAGCGCTGCCTTTTCAGCCGGGACCCGACCTTTAACACTGGTGCTTTCCACAACCTTCCTTCACCATCCCATTTCATTCTCAAAGCCAAGGTGGCTGGTACATGAATGGCTACACACGGGAAAACTCACTGAGCTGTACATTTATTATCTGTGCCCTTGACTGTGGGTAAAAACACGTATGAGAGGCGCTATAAGCCTCACTTAGTCGAGGTCAGCACAGCAGCCTGACGCTGCCCCAGCCTCTCGGGTCATCATCATATGCCTGGCTACTTGTTTATTCCTCTGGCCTCCCAGGACAATCCCATGTAGCAGAAGCTGGGGCCTGGGGGCAGGGGAGGGTCTTTTTTTTTTCTGGAGGAGGAGCTCCAGGTGTTGCGCCTAAGAGTGGCGGCCTGGACCCGCAGGAGTGGCGCAGGAACTCCTCCCTGGAGGTGATCTGAGCTATTTATACCCGAGAGTGTAGGCTCCGGGGAGGGTAAGGGAGCGCGGAGGGGCTGGTCTCGGATGGCTTTAAGTGCCTCGAGACATGCAAACCTCGCGGAAATCAATGCAGAGAAGCAGCTCTTGTTTCCTCTACCGGGTGGCGCGTCCGCTCAGAACTGGAGGGGGCGCAAGGCGAGGGCCAACTAACCCTGAGGAAACTGGTCTCGGGTGATCTGGCCTGGCGCACCGCGAGCGTCAAGAGGCCCTACTGTTGTAGAATGGGACTGTCCTTGGGGTTGGGGAGAGACTGAGTAAGATGGGTTCAATAATGTATACTGCACTGAAACAGAGGAGGGAGAAAACTGTTTAAAAGAGATATATGACTAGGTACTTCTGTCATCACAGGAGTCTAGAGCAAGGGCTACATGGTGGAGGGGACCTGGGGGAGGGTTTGTAAAACAATGAAAGAATCCTTTCTTTTACTTTTCCATAATTTTTGACTCATGTACTTATAACTTGTTAGTCAAATTTGTGTCTTCTAGGTTGCAACACCCCCATGATACATCTTCAAGGATATGAACATGTGCGGCCAAGCACAATCAATAAGAGTGCATCTAAATTCCAAAATCAATCTCCATAATAGTCTATGTGTTTTCTACTGCCAAAGGGGCCCTTTAGAGTAGTGAGAGAAGATTTTTCACCCTGAAACCCACAGCGTCCCTTTTCAGCAGGAAGTAGCTAAGAGAATACGCCATCCCCTTTTCCTTACGAATCAAGGTGAAGTCTCTCTCAGGGAGGAGTGATAGGGAATGGCAGAACTGACTTTGACAAGCACTGTGGCAATTGGACAATTAAAACAGACATTCGGATGGCGGGGAAGAAGAACAAACTGGGGAGGAGGGTGGAGAGAATGGTGCGGCAATGAAGGAGTGAAAGCCCAGAATCCCTGTGAATGTTCATTGAAACAAATAAAATTTAATAATAATAAAAAAATTTAAAAAAAGAGGCCCTGGCAGGATACGACTGGGTTGGAATAAAAGTAACTATTTGATAAGAAAACCCCAGAGTCGCGTGGGAGGAGGCTGCTCGCGATGCCCGGCTCCCAGCTGTGCGCGCTGAACTCCCGCCGGGGAGCGCTCGCAGCCCGCGGTCGGTTCCGTTGACCTCGCTCTTGCTCTTGCCGCCTAGAGAGCACGCAAAAAGTCACAGTGGATCCTTGATGCAGATCCTCGATTTATCGCGTGCACCCCAGCTTTTTGTCATCATACTGCCCCAACCCTGAGGCTCTCCCCTACCGATCCCCCGTGTCCTCCAATCTCCAAACGTTAGGTCCTGCTGCCAAGGTCTCCATCAAGTTCTCAGACTCGTTTTCTAGGATTTGAGCTGTAGGGCTAGGAAGCCGCATCCTCAGGATGCATCACGGACTAGTGAAAATGAGGTTTTGGATGGGAGTTTGCACACCTCCTGGAGCGGCCTGCCTCAGATAAAACCTAACTCCTCTATGTAGGCCCGCTCCCACGACGTGAGGTCAACTCCCCGGGCCAAAGCTCAACACTTTTTCCTGGAACCCCGGAAAGTGGCCTAAGGAGCCCAGAGACCATTTTCTTCTCCCTCATTTTACTGTGTTATATTTCTTAGGAGAAAAAAAAGATACAGATCTGACCTTCCACAACTTCATGTGGAGGGAAAGAAAATCTTTCCAGGGCACTATATTGTTGATGACGGAAAGTACCTATGATTCTGTGACACAAATGAGAGAGTGATAACCTCCACGTGGGTGGCTTAAGAAAGAAGCTTGGCTTTGAAGGAGGGGTAAGAGGTCACAGCAGAAATGAGGTGGGCGTTTCTGAGGCTATGATGGCATGTGCGAAAGGATGAAGGCTCCAAACAGCAAAATGCTACTGTTTGAACTGTCTCCCTTTCTGTCAGCCAGGAAATGATTTAAAGACAATCTCCGGTCCTCCCCTGAATACCCATTCCAAAGAACCCCAACCCCAGCATACTTTCTCTTCCCTTTATTTTTAATTCATCTGCTATTTAAACATTTATTGGCGGTCTGCTCTCCCCACATCTGAAAATAAGCTCCATGAACCTGCACCCCCCCATCACCATCCCTAGCCCCCAGAGAAGGGCAAGTAAGTACATAACAGCTCAGTAAGTGGTACTGAATGAATGAAATGTTTGCAGCTGCAAACTAGTGCGGAATGTGCAAGGAAGTGGGAATCCTCTCCCTAATTTTAGCCTAAACAACCTGGTTCCAGAGGAAGAAGCCTGTTTGGAAGGGAGCTTGGGTCGAAACGGTGGTGTCATTGGTGTCCTCGCTAGAAGAGTTGGCTAGAGAGGATATGGGGCTAGTGGCGAGGATGTTGGGAACCTGATGAGCTGGCCCACGTGAAGCTCTGGGGTCTTCCAGCCTTGGGAGAGATAAGCCGAGGGAGGGTCTTCGCCCTCCCAGGCACCGCCTCTCCAGTTCCTGGAGGCTCCTTTGGTTGCGCCCAGCCGCAGCTTGGGCGGTCAGCGAGCTTCCGAGGCTCCCTCTCCTGCCCCCCTCCTCCTCCCCTCCTCTTCTTTCTTCCTCCTCCTCCTCCTCCTCCTCCTCTTCCACGTCTCCCCAGCTCACCGGCCCCGCTGCAGCCTCGCGGCCCCCACCCCCTCCTGTAGGGGCGAAATTGCTAAACTTGTAGCAATAATGACCCTGCATTCAGGCCGCCGACTCCCGCTGAACGTCTCGGCGCCCAGGCCGGCGGGGCCTAATCAACGCGCCCTTCCCCGCTGCCTGCCCAGCCCCCTCCCCCAGCCCACAAAAACCAGGGAACAAAACCCCCGCGCATTTCTCCGTCCCTCTGTTGAGCAGACTGCTGCACAAAGCCCCCGCTCTGAGAAGCAATGGGGAGCTGGGGGGGACGTCAATCCCGACGCGCTGGGGTTTTTGTTCGCGCTGCGGACCTCGCCTTCCTACCACACCTTTTGTTCGGGACTCCAATAAAAAGCCATTCTTTCCGCACCTTCCCGGCCCGGAGCCGCCTTTCAGCAGGGCCGGGCCCCACAATGGCGGGGCGCTCTGAGGCCTCCCCATTCACCCGCCTTGGCACGCTCACAATCGGCCGTGTGGCAGCACCGGCCTCGCACAGGCATTCTCCGCAAGTGACAAGGAGGCGCATAAAGCCGCGGCCGCCGGGGGAGAAGGGAGGGCGGCCGAGGGGGAGAGCACGGCTGCGGCGGTGCACAGCGCAGCCACCGCGCTGTCCGGGCAGCGGCCGAGGGCTGGACGGCTTCGGTGCCTCCCAGACACTGCCTGCGGGCCAGGTTTCCCGGGCCTGGGGACTCTCCAGGCTCTAGAGTCTAAGCCTTGCCCGAAGGCAAGCGCAGACTTTAGCCCAGGCATCTAGGGGAGGGGCGGAAGGAGTAGGAAATTGGGAAGATTACAAAACCCAGGACCCCCAAAGGTCTTCAGAACTGTCCTCCTGTTTGCCGTAAAGAGAAATCAATGAACAAGGAGGCGGGGAAGGACTAGGACCTGGAGCAGAAGCAGCCATGCCCAAGAAGGCCCAGAGGACTGGGACAACTGGCCCTAGGCCCCCTTCCTTTCCACTCTGCTTAAGCACATGCATCTCTTTTTTGAAACAATGTCTGGGTAGTCGGCCAAAGATTTGGAAATATTGCACCTTGTTTATTGACTCCTGTAGTGTATGGCAGCGGGTGTGTACACGGCGTGAAGGTATAGTTTTAGATATATAATATGTGCTGAATACAGAATACGAAACAGAAAGGAAACCCTGTAACACCTCCTGAGGGCCACCAGGTCCTGGATCTGTGCAGGCTGCGGTTTCTCTTCTCTCCCCGCTCGTCTTCCTCTTCTGGTCCAGGCCCACCAGTCCTGGGTTCCCTTAGTGGTCAAGGGATCCGAGCTGAGGTTATCTGCGGCCCGGAAGAGACAGTTAGGAACCGATCAACGATTGGTGTGGCGCTCCAGGCCTGCAAAGGACTCCAGATCATGGGTGCTAAGCATCAAGCAAGCCATGACCCCCATCTTTTTCCTCTCCTTCATGCTTTTTTTTTTTTTTGTCCATGGCCCCCGGGTCAACGCTTCGTGGAAGCAGCAGAGGCAGCGAAAGGGAAGCCCGTCCTGCTCTGGAAGCACCAAGTCCTGGTTTCTCGCACTCGGTAGCCGTGATCCGGTTCTTTCCAGCACCCAGACAGCGTGTCTGCCTCCAAGACAGCGCGGGTGGTCAAAGTGGGGCCTCCTCCTAACCCAGTCCCCTTCCCTAGGCCTCAAGCAAGCACCAAGGAGCGAGACGTGTATATTTTCTTTTCTTTTTAACGAGAGGCCCCGGCCCACGGTGGGTCTGGCCTTTCTCGAGCCTCAGTCCTGTGGCACCAGGCTGCGATGGGGGAAAGCCACCGCCCAGTCTTCTCGTCCCTACCAGGCCCGGATGCCCTGCAAGGTGCCCTGCGCGCACGCAGGCCCCGCCGGGGCGCTCTGGTGCAGCGGTTGTGCCCCGCCGCCGCTGCCGAAGCCGCCCAGGTTGCTCATGTTCACAAAGGGGCCGCCT